GGCTTTTAATCGGACTTTCATACTCTTCTGCATTAATATGTCATTGGATAATTGGGTAATTACAATACCCATCAGCATCCAGAGGTGTGTCACACCTGGACGTGTATAAGCAGACCAGAGGGAGGCACATACTCCTTAAGCTCCGGGGATATTCTGCTGCACAACTCAGTCCAAAACTCCGGCACATTTGCAAAAAGCATTTTTTTTTCCTTCTTGACATGCACAAATTTTTCCTATGTTTGTATTAAGATGCCAAGGTAGTTTTTTTCCCCCAACTTCAGATGTAATTTTAGCAGCTCAGTACTTTTAGTACAAACAGTCTTTTCCTATTACATTAAGGGGATAAAAAGGTGAAAGATTACCTTGGACAGAGGAACACCGGGGTTAATAAAAATCGCTGTTAGGCACCATGTTCTCCATGTCATCCTTTTGCGCACAAGTGCCGGATTCATAATGACCTGTGTGAATTCTAGATAGCAAATCATGAATCTTTTTATGTTTTAACTGTAATTTTTTTTCTGTGCTGGAATTTGATTCATTTACCAAGAGACCTCAAAATCATTACACACCCCCCCAGCTATCCCTAAACCCTGACAGCTTAAACACATACACATGAACATCCCCAAGAACCTGTATGGCATGTTTAGGATCTTGCTATTGAGTAATTTTCTGTTTAATCTAGGATACACTTCCCCTGTGTAGTAAAGCAATTACATAATTAATGGTTACATTGAAACAGAATGGCTCAGGAGAGATAAAAGAATTTTTAGGACAACTGTGTCAGACTGGAGAGGAAGTACGCATCAATAATTCCCTCTCACAGTTGATACTTCAACTAGTATTAGCTTAAAAGTCCAAATGCAAGTCATTAAGCAAAAAAATGAACAAAATGAAGAGCAACCTTGCAGGGACAGTGATGAACTGAGAGTAAGGACATTTGGGTTCAATTCCGAACTCTTCCCTTGCCAGTATAGCTTTGGGCAGTTTCTTTGTTCCTCAGTTCCTTATCTATTTAATAAGGATATTAATACTCCATTAATTCTACTCCTTGCCTGCCTGCCCTTTGAAGGCCTCTTGAAGGTTTTTGAATCTTGAAGGTTTTCTGCTCTCTGCAAAACTCTCAGCAAAACAAAGACCTGCTTTTTGTTGAAGACTAAAGAAGAATTTAAGGAGGGAATCGCAATCAGGGCTTACGGCTACCAAAGTTGGTAAAAATTGCTGTTCAGTACCAGTAACATGGGGCTACACAATACGTAGTGCTAAAGATGGTCCTTCAGAGAGCTTCTAATTAAAGAGCTGAGCTCTGAAAACCAATAAATATTAGGACAGCTATAACAGATCTAGTTAAAAAAAATACACTTCCCTGTCAAAAAGAAAAAAAAAAGTAAAATTGTTGCAAATTTTCACTGAGAGAAACAGATACTGGTATCATTGCTTGTAACAAATTAAAGTCTGATTAAAAATGTTAAAATGAAATGTGTCATTTTGAAACCAGTCTTCACATACATATGGATTTTTACAACTTTTTACTTTTAAAAAACATTATGTCTTTTCAATTTATTATCCTGGTTTACAAAAAACACAGATCCTGATTTCTTGTCAGGTAAATATTCTTTCTGTGGCTATTTTTGTTTAAACAACAAAAGTTTAAGACTCATTTGGTTTTGTTTTGAGTTTTTTTTGCAGGCCTTTCAGAAATCATTTTTTTGCTTGATATTGAATCAGAACAGCTCAAGGCATTCCAAGTACAGGAACTGCTTATGTGTTGTATTATTAAAGCACATTTTTCTTGGGTAGAAATAGTTGCTACAACTGAGGAAAGTATTTCCACTGTTCAGCATAAATTCCCTGCTAATGCAGGCGGTTCAAGCTCTAATTCATGTAGTTTCTCCAAAGAAACAGTTCAATGGACTGAAATGAAATGTATGTGCTTTCAGCATCAGACCTCTATTGAACAGTATCTTAAAAGAAAAGGAATTGACTAATTTTACGTGCTTTAGAATTGACAGAGAAAGCCAACTACTGCTGTTGTGCAAATGTTTAAATAACTAAAAACGTTACTTATAAAAAAGTTCTAAGTCACAGTAAATCCTTGACAGAAATGTCTGCTAAAGACAATGAGCATCCTGCATCATGTAAAACCTTCTCTTTCAAAATCCCACACTCTTTAGAAAATATTCTGCTATTCTTTCTACATATATGTTGATATTATAACAATAAAAGAAACTAATTTATCTATGCTGCATTAGTGGAGTGTATGCATTTTAAAGGTTGCTATGCTTGCTTTTTCTAATATTTTTCTTTCTCCTATAATTAACACAAAAAAACCCACTATGCACTGTATCCTGAAACGGAACTGTTCTTTACAAATTATAAGGAAGGAAATATTATTTGTTATATAATATATACCCTAATAATACAGTCATTTATAAGCATGCAAAATTGCACAGGGAAAGAAAATCCAGATGGTTTTATGCTTCTTATTTCAATATTCATCTATGTTCCGTAGGAAGTTTACTATATTTATGATTACATATTGTCTTTCTATACCCTAAAGTCAAATATCTTCCTAGAGGAAGTAAAGAGAGAAACATAATATATTACCTAAAACTGAATGTATTTAATGTAGTAGAAAGCTTGGTAAGTATCCTTGAACTTAATAATAGTGATTACCTTTATAAGATCAGCGATATTTTAAAGGAAATTTTCTTATGAGTTGCCAGAAGAATTGACAACACCTAACAGCAATATTAATACTGCCACAAAAATAAATAAGGCAATGAATGATTCCAATAAGAATACACTGCGCTCGGATTTGGAGACTGCTAATAAAAGTAAACTTCTCTGATAATTCTTCACTAACAATGTAACTGTACACTTGCATGATCTTGAAGAATGTAATTAACCTATTTTTCTTGTCCTAATTACAAGGTAAAAGCATTCACATGCGTAAAAGGAAAAATGATTTTGTTTAGAAGGGAATACAAATTATGCCCCGAGCCTAATAAATCTGTTACCATGACAATCAAAGAGCCTGGTCTTACAAAACATTTCATAATTTATTCACATGAGTAGTTCTTACTCATACGAGTTGTCCCATTGATTGAAATAGAACTGCTGATGTGAGGAGAGATTTGCAATGGGAACCGAATTTAGGATGCAGTCCTTGTTCACACAAAGAGCTGAGGGGACTACCTCAAGTAAGAGCTTCTTTCCACAGTGGAGACTGGGAGATGACATTTATGGGTTGCATTGTCCTTCCTCAGTTTTCCATGTTGGTTCTTATACTTGTCACACATTTTGGATGGTAAAATACACGAACAATCTATTTCAGTGTACATATGTGCATACTTTGAACTTTTACTCCTGAAATCAAGGCTGGTTCCTCTGAACCCGACTGAGAAATTGTCCCACCACAGGAACGTGTTTGTATCATCTCCGTTTCCTCCTACTGCAGTGATTTGAAAAAGCTACATTACCATTCTCTCCCTAAAAACCATCATATGGAGTCCTTCATCATAGAAGGAAGAGTTGTATTGGGAAATACTACAAAATTTCATCTTTTGAATAGGATTTAACCTCTGATTCTTGTTCATGAGTCCTGGTGTGGCCTGGCCTTTTTGTTTGGCCCTTTGCATCTCTCTCACCCTCAATACCTGCTGCCAGGAACCCATCACCTTCATACCCAGCTGGACAGCCCATGAATTCACCACACAAACCCACTCCTGGTCCATTTCTAACACCACCAAAAGCAGTGGTATTTCCATGGGATTACCCTCGGAGCAGGGGCAGGTCCTTACCGCAGTTTGCTCCTCAAGAGACACTCAACTTTCCCTCTTCCAAACTCAGTGATCAACCAGAATGCATAAGAAAATATTGATTTTTCACATCTCCAGTCTTTCATCTTTTAGTTCCACTCTGATTTCTGAAACAGAGATCCAAGTAAACCAGGCTTTCTGGAAAACTGACCTGTTCTTCCATTTCCATACACTCACTGTATAATTCTTGATCTGCTTGGCAATTTCCTGATAGTGACCCAAAATTTTGTTAAGTCGGGTAGTTAGTTAATAACATCACTGTGCACTCCCCTAGCACCTTTCATCCAAGAAGATGAAAGCACATTACAGCAGTTAATGAAAAATATCTTGCAATATCCACTGAAACCATTAATAGTGATTCTCAACATGCGGCTAATAAACGACCAAAATTACTTGATATGAGAACATCTCATACTGGGTTTGCTTATTTTATGACTTGGGTCATCAAGAGTAACATTGTCATAATTCACAGTGGTCATTTTTTTGGCTTTCTAACATATATAAAAGGATCTGCCTTCCACTGTATCTGAAACACAGCATCCAAATCTGCACTTGATTCGTGTTCCCATGGGAAATAAAATAAAGTAAACCTTTTGTACCTGCAGATCTTGCAGACATTCAAACCCCATCTGTAGCTTTTATTTACTCAGACGATACTTATCCAGAACTATTCTTAAGTTGATACAGGATTTCTTTTTCCTCCTATTTTTGTCTTCAGGCAGTCAGTGCATGACTGAGGTGCAGGGAAGGTAAAGCACCATGACCCCAGAGAGACAGAGCGAGAGAAAGAGGAGGAAGGGAATGGAGGGAGGGAGGGAAAAAGAGAGAGAAATCCCAGAGCAAATTTTTAAACATCCTCTTTAGCGTGGAAATATGTACAATACAGCTGCTGATGTTCCAGTCCAAGTGCAAATGATAGCACAGGTGTGCACAAACACACACACACACACACACACACACACACACACACACAGTCACAAAGCAAGGGAGAAAGGCAGAAATGATCTTACAAAGCTGCTGCAGTAATCACGACATTTGCTCCTGGAAACAACCATACAAACAAACGTTCTTTTGTGAGCTTTCCACATTTTTTCAAATTTCATTTGATTGTTGCAGTTATTTTTATATCTCACCATAAGAGAAACATGGTTGTTAATATTAAAGGAAGGAAAAAGGCCTTACCATGCAGTGCATCAGGAAGAGATGAGAAGCACAGAGCATGCTGCAGAGATTAAGCTCAGCATGGCATTCAGATATCCTCTGGAATTGAAGAAAATTGTCCAACCCATTCCTCCTAACAAAGCAGACAAGTTTTCTCTAGGCTTGAATTTTTCACCAGAAGTCAGATCCTTACAGTGCATTATATTTTCTTCTTCAGGAGATAAATTTCCTCCAGTTAAGTTTCAGCTCCGCAATGCCATTTCCAATCAGCTCTAAGAAGTTCTTCATTTCCAGATTTGGGGTGTCATCAGAGGAACTCCAAAGAAAATCAAAGAAAGAAAGAAAAAAAGAAAATAATACCTTACCAAAGCCCTGAAATTACTATGCAGAAAAGGAGAAGAGAAAAGGAAAAAAAAACAACCACCCCTTTTTTATTCTGTTATCTATGTGTTTCACAGCAATCAGGACTACCTCTTTGGTCTCATATATGCAGTGCTGATTACCTGTAATAAAAGAAGAGGCAAAAACTTTCCCAATTCACACATGATGCATTTTCCTTACAGCTGCTCAACTCTGCACTACCAGACAACCCTTCTCATCCTGAGGAAGCTTTAAAACCATCTGACAAAAACATCAGCTGTCCCTTTCCCTTCCCAAGGATCATGAATATTAGAATTTCTAGAAAAGTGTTGGAGAGAGCTTGACAAATAACCCCAAAAATACAAATTAGACCTAAAAGCAAAGCCCTCGAAGCAGAAGAGTTCTTAAGCAAGGAGATACCTTGCCCGAAGGATTTGGGGACACGCGCATTAAGTCATCATAGGGAAGGAGAGAGGGATAAAGACCGGTGGCTACCAGGGGGGTTTGGAGAGGATGGGGTGGGACCGAATGGGTGTGAGGCGGGAGTGGGATCCTGAGTCACCCTCAGCCTCCTGCCTTCTCGCTGACAGCAGCTCGGGCTTCCCCTGCACTTTCTGCAAAGCATATTAATTGATTCTGGTTGCTGAGCAACTAACTCTGGGGAGCCACATCCACAGCTCCAGCTCCGCCACAGCTTCAGCAATAGCGACGGGGAGAGGGGATGGTGTCCCCCTCCTCCCTCCTTCTCCCAAGGCTCACTCCCCCTCCTCAGGATGCCCTCAGCTGTTCTGCAGGGGATCTTTGTGAGGAAAAGGAAAAAGCCCCCATTAGTGCAGCTGGGAGGGGAGCTGGGTTGTTCCCCCCACCCTGTGCGGTACTGGAGACTCAGGGGAGCAGCCCCGTTTCACGCTGCAGTCCCAAAGGGCATCCTCCACTCCAACACTACCCCGCCACGCGGGGTGCCTGGGTGCTGGCACAGCTGTGGGAAACCCAACTCAGGCTCGGCAAGAGGTGGGTGAATCAGGGTGGTGCAGTTCCCTTCTGAAAAGTAAACCTGGATTAACCCTCTAGATCTCCACGCTGCAAAGATGCTGTTAAAATGACATGCAACTGCCATGGTTGTGCCAACTCAAGGGTACAAAAGTGAGTTTCCAGCGGAAGATGTGGCCACTTAAGCTCTGTCCCTGCAATTATGGGGTAAATGCATTGCTTATTTCTGACCTCTTTATCTTGTTGCACTTCAGGCAGAGCAGGCACGTCTCTGGCTGAGAGGGCACGCACAAGCCAGAGCCACCATCCAGAGGAATTGCAGGGATGTCTTTGTCAGAGACTGCAGAATGGAGCTCTCTGACACAACCTTGTCATTGCTTTAACCAATCTTGTGTTTAAGTTCCTCACAGGAGAGAAACAGCAATGAGGCCATTTAGTCTAGCCTCATAAAGCCTAGAGTGCCTTAGTGCCCTATAGGAATGACACAGAGGATTTCGGCAAGGCTGATGCCAAGCAGATGGACCCTGAATAAGGCCTGGCCACTGCAATTTGTGGCACTGACTTCTGTGACTCCAGAGTCTGAAAAATTTTCCAAAACACCAAAATGTCTGAAATAAGACATTTCTCTTGTGCTCTAGTTTTGGGTAAATTATCAGTCAGTTTATGGCATTTGTTCAGCAACAACTGAGCTGTCTTTCTGTTGCACAGGCAAGATGCAAGCAATGAAAAGACCTCGAGATTTCCCTCCCTGTGACCTGGCAGTAAGTGCAGTATCAGATCTTGGCCAAACCGCTCACCCGTGATTACTGTCAAAGACCTGAGCTGGATCAGCTCTTTATTCTGCTGTAGTGATAGGACAAGTTAAAGGGCAAGGCCCTGAGAACTGCCTTAGCTTGCAGTCACAGGGACAGAATTATCTCATTCTCCCCTCGAAAAACTCCAGCCATAGCACGTGTGTGCTATCTAAATGGCAAACCCCATTCTATGAGAAAAGGGGACAGGTTATCTTCAGCAAGAGAGTAACTTTTCTGACAGTAGCTTAGCCCCACCACACTCTGCTTTCATGCTTTATAAAGATCTACAGTTTAGTCTCGTTTTCTTAGCAAACCAAGATGCTTCATGTATATTCAAGGCTCAGGAAGGACCATTAGATCAGGTTAGCAAAGCTGCCGTAGAAAACAGATTGCAGAACGTACTCAGTTCACCCAATATGTCTATTGATATGTACATATACCAGATATCCCTAATCCTCCAAGTACAGCACACAGTGAACTGTGGGAACTTCAGTATTGATTTAGTAAATGAAAGTCTTTTAATCTCCTACTAACAAGATATTGCTAAGGAAGAAATCCTGTAGTTCACCTACTCAATGTGTCTCCTGAGGTCTTCTAACATACTAAACATAGGTTAAACACACTAAAACCACACATGATAAACATAAACTGTTCTTGATTTATGTGGCCACTGGTTTCTGTAATTAATTTGGTATCATTGATTTTCCTTTTATCTCTTCTTCTCACTCTTTGGACATTTCTTTTGACTGTCTCATAGTACCTCATCTTTACCCCTAGATAGGAATAACTCCAACAAGGTTTTCTTTAGCAGTTTTATGTACACAAAATTCATTACATCACTTCTCAGTCTGTTCCCTTTCCAAATTAAAAACTTACCTGAGCCTTTACTCTTCTGTCACTTTGTAGGGAATGGTTTATCACACACTGACCATAAGAGTATGGAAAACTGAGTGTGAAATTACGTGTGTATAGGGATGCACGGTAATACATGCAAAAGTAAAAGGTACCAAAGAGATGGTATCTGACTTAGGAAGTGAGTCATGGAGCACAGGAACAGAGGAAAAATGGGGGCTGCTTCATCTAGCAGGGATAATAGGGTTAAATTGTGTTTCACTATTCTTTTTTTTTTTTTTTGAATAAAATGGGGTGACAGAAAAGAGGAGATGAAATACAGGTTGTCAGGTTTGTCTGTGAGTCCTTCCAGCCTGTGGAAGAAGATGGTTCCATTTAAGGGCATAAGTGAAAAAAAGACCTTTTCCTTTGAATTTGTATAATGATTTATGGAATACTAAATAGAAGAGGGAAGCTAGCACAAGATCTTTGGAAGACAGGACATGAAATATATAGAAACAGAGAAAAGATTACGGGGGAGTAAGTGCTTGAGAGTGACGAAAGGCTGGGAAAATGATGAATGTTTAGAATAAGGGAACTAAGAGAGGTGGAGAGATTTCCCAAATTCTTACAAAGAAATTATTAAGGCTGCATGAACATATTTCCCTGTACACAGAGAAAAAAAAGATTAGTCTCAACATGATAAGCTGTAGTTGTTTTATCTTTTCCACTTTTACCCATTGACATTCATGCCAGTGCCTGTTTTTATCCTCAGCAGTACAATCTTTTAAAAGTGTGACAGCAAATTATCAATTTTTTAATGTGGCATGCTTTGTACTTTTACAAGGAGGAACACCAAACATTTTTGAAGCTCTCTGTATGGAGCAAATATCATAAAAAGTGCTAGGGAAGGGCAGTTGAAAGGCAAAGCAATAAAACAAAATAACCCTAGAAAGGAAGGAAGTCAACAGCTCGTGATTTCAAAATGAAAGCAAACTGTTTGGCATGTAAGAAGGAGCCATCAGATTATTAAAATAAATTGTAGGAGAGGTAAGTTTGGAGATGTCAATGTTTGTGCAATTTTTTATTTTTATTTTTTTTAGAAAATGCAAAGCTGCTTAGATAAAATTCAGACTCTTACAGAAAGCGAGTATAGCATCTCGCTTTCACTTACACAAGCCTTGAATTTAATCTCATATAAATGCTTTTTATTATGCATTGAAAAGGCTGACTAATGCATGTGTTCTGTTCCTATTCCATTTTCTATTTATCTTTCCTCTTCCCACCTTTCTTTCCTAATAGTAGCGTTATCCTCTTTGAGAACATGAATGTTTTGTGAGCCTAAAGACCAGAGCAAGCGAGGACCCAGCCAGCCCTCACCCCTCTGGGGAATGGTACAACTGGTGTCCCACCAAAACTACATCAGTTACTGCAACGAAATCAGACCAGCAGCATCCTTCATGTTGAGGCCCTGTAGGCAGAAGGGGCCCATACTAAAAGACCTTGAGCACCAAAATAATGGGGAGAGATGACAGGGAAAACCTCCTCCCAGTTCCCCCAGTTGCTGCCACAGTATTGCCTGGCCACTAGAGGCAAATGAAATAACTTCTTTACCAAAACATTTGCCTTCAACCCAATTTAGTTTAATACTTGATAGAGACCATCACTTTATTCCTTCCAAGCTGCACCTTTTTTGGTAGCTGCCATCTGAGAACTGAATTAGATTTTTAAAAGCAGTACTGTATGTAAAGGATATAGCAATGTTAACATAAGTACAAATGCATGCACAGATCATGGAAGTTATTTAAAGTATGAAATAAAAGATATAATTCAATTATGAACCAAAATTTAATTAAAAACCCGTGAAAATAATATGCAAAGAAGTTTTCTGGATACATTTCTCATTTTGACCTTTCAATATCTTGTGTCTCAATTACTATTCAATCAATTGCAGCACAAACAACTGAATTGATTTTTTGCCTTTTTAGTTTAAATGCCATAACACATGCATGAGATTTTGAGCCTTAGTGCGTGCAATTCCAGATCATCATCAGCAATTAATTGGAAAATCTAACTGTAAAGAGACCTTTGTTCAAAAAAAATAAAGTCAGAGAATCATACAATTGTTTAGGTTGGAAAAGACCTTTAAGATCATCAAGTCCAACCATTAACATAACACTTCCCAGTCCACTACTAAGCCATGTCCCTAGGC